GAGGCAGTATCACTACGGAAGTAGGATTGCCCAACCTTCCTTCCGAGGAGTGGCTGGTGGGTTTGAACCGCCAGCCCTCTGGTTAGCAGTCAAGTGCCTTAGCCACAGGGGAGAGATGTATATTTAGCAATGTTTATGATAATTTCTCCTCCTCTTCCCACACCATCACTTTAATTGGAGAATTACTGATTTCATCCTTTTGAAAACATACAAACCAAGATGTTACTGGAAAGCTGCTGGTTTATTAAGTTTGAAGTGGTATCTGGTGATCTTGATTTTCTTAGTAAGTCCGAAGCTGGTTCTGAAGCACTGACGAGGCTAAGGAACAAATACCCTAATCTAGTGGAATATAAAAGGTAGTGGCACTGTAATTAAGGCATTGGGCTGCTAACCAAAAGATCAGTGGTTCAAACCCACCAGCCACTCTGTGATGGAAAGAAGAGGGAGTCTGCTTCCATAAAGATTTATAGCAGTGGGTATGTTTTTTGATAGTGGAACATAAAACCCAAACAAAACCCATTGCTGTCGATTCTGACATAAAGCAACCTACAGGATAGAGTAGAACAGTCCCACATGGTTTCCAAGGCTGTAAATCTTTACAGAAGCAAACTGCCACATCTTTCTCTTGTGGAGCAGCTGATGGGTTTGAATCACCAACCTTTTGGTTGGCAGTTGGAACACTTTACTGCGTCACCAGGGTGGAATATATAACCTGTAAATCCTTCAGTAGTATTCCAAAAATATCACTCTCTCGACTAGAGTTTTGCTAAGAGTGTAAGGTGTAAGGTTATAGCCTTTGGAAAGAGCCTGAAAGAATCAGTTCAATCTCTCTTCCTCATAATAGTCCTTCAACTGTTTAAAAACATGTATCATGCCCCATGTAAGAATATACTTTTCTAGACTAAACTTAACCAGTTCCTTCATATGATCAGTACTGACATCATTGTTTTCACCTCATCACCATGTTCACCTACTCTAAACAAGTTTTAGCTTGCCAATAACCCTTTGAAAATGATATTCCAAAATGGAATGTATTCAATGTGTGGTCTAACACACAAAAGATATCCAATTAAAGTCTGGCCTCCAGGCCATAGTATAACAGAGGAAGTCAAACTATGACATGCCAGTTTCCTCAGGAGAAGCCAACACTGGAGGACTATAAGTAAAGGCAAGGGGTTCACTGACTCATCAGTCTCCTCTGCTCTGATGAATAAACAAGGATGTGGTGGTCCACTGTCCTTGCTCTGCTTTCATGACAGGACACTGCTGAAGATTCTTAACTAGGGAGTAATGTGACCAGGTCTGTCTTAGAAAGAAAAGTCTGGTGGTCTTGGAAAGGATGGACAAGAATGGGAAAACAAAAGTATCAGGACTTTAAGTGGTTGGGTGTCTTACAGGGCAGATTCTAGAGTGGATAAAAGGGAAAAGTAGAATTTGGGAGGCGATAGAATTGACAGAACTTGATTAATTAAATGGGGTATATGAGGGAGAAAAGTATCTAGAATGACTTAAATTTCTTGTTTGGGAAACTGTGGAAGATGGGTTAAGGAATTAGCTAAGACAGCGACAAATAGAGAGGCTTCCAAGGAAAGACAATGACCTCATTGTTTTAAATGATGGCACAGGACATTTCAGGAGAGACACCTGGTTGGCAGTTAGAGACAGCAAAGAATTTTGAAGCTTAGCAAAGAATTAGGAAAGTCAAAGATATAGATGTGAGTCATCAGTGGAAAAGGGAATTCAAAGGGGCAGCTAAGAACAGTCATAGATATTGGGTAGAGAAATGTCCCTCACGGTGCAGCCCACAGACCACCTGTACCAGAATCACTGAATCACTAAGATGAAGATTCTTTATCTTTGATCAGAAGCTAGGATGGAATTGGAATTTTGGCATTTTTAACTAAAACTTGAGAATAATTACAATAGAGAATGGAAAAGATAAAACCATGAGGGGCCTAAAGGCATTGTAGAGAGCCAAAATGTGAAAACAAGAAAGATGGAAAGGTGGTAAGAGAGTTGTAATGCAAAGCCAACGATTCCAGCTGCTAAGGTGTAGATTACCTGCTATAATACCATCCATCTGTTCCAACGCCGCAGCCAACATGTCACTTGCATCACTCATCATTTTCTTTTATTTGAATGGCAAATTCCAGCCTAGATCTGAAAAAATAATGGTGTTATCATTACATCTTTTAAATGACACAAGCTTGCTAGCAGGTTTGCTAATTCAACTTCAAATTTTAACTCTACTTAAGCAGTCATACATGGAGAGAAAACCTCTGAAGTAGTTGAGCTGAGTTAATGAAATCATTTAGCAAGCCATGGTCAAGCATCTACTTGTACTACAAAACCATGGGCTACATCTGTATCAGTTACTAAGTTTCAGTCCTTGCACTCAAGGTGTTTAAAATCCAGAAAAATGGTTTTCATGCTATATTCCGCTGAGCTCTAGGACACCCTCAACTGCTTTGGGAATGGCCATGGAATCTTGTTGAGGGCCAGGACTGCAGAGCAGATAAGACTTTCTTCTTGCACCAGCACACCCAATCTCTGCTCTCTTAACTTTTCTTTCCGCCCACCCCTTGTATAGTTTATCGTAAGATCTGTCTAAAAAACAGCTTGAATTACATACATATTAAACACACACACACACAGAAACTGACTGGTATTTTGTAATGTACCATTTATTGAGTGCCTACAATGGTCTCTATACATTTACATAAATTATCCACAATCCATAATCATGACAACAACTCTAAAAATGGGTATATCTATCTCCATTTTATAGATAACTACCAAAGACGTTTGCTGAGTTTTGCAGAAACACCCAACAAATAAATACAGCAAAGCCCATTTTTAACCTAGGTCTTTCTGATTTTCACTACAATACTGCACTTCTGTTTATCTGATCCCATCTGGGCACGTCTCCAGAAACAATAAATCTCCATGTTTCCAGAGACTCTGGCAGTATAAATGAAGAATCATAGGATCTGTTTCATGCTGAAATTCTGTTAGACTCTATTAATCTTTTTACCTGTTTAAAAAAAAATACTGAAATTACTCTTGCAAAGAATTTGATCACTGATAAGAAAATCAAGATTATGTGACTTTCAACATTAATAAGGGCATTTCAAGTGGCAGACTAAGCACCCACATATATTCTCCAAACAGGCCTGAATAAGATGACTCCTACTTTGCAGACACTGTAAAGAAAGAGTATGCAATGACTTGATAAAGAAAGGGTATAAGCTTTAATCGAAACCTTTGCTCTCTGTTTCTGAGCAGCTGGATCTTACCTACCACTTCATTTTTATAAACATATGTATGGTTCAGGTAAACATCTTCTCAGACTAGTTCTCTACTATGCATTCATTCCAGTAAAATGATACACACATTGTAAAATATTACTTTGATTTCACAGTATTTTCATCTAAAGATTTTCTAGAAGTTTACTCACTTCAATATGTGTGAATTATAACTACTGTTTTATGTGCAAAAACTGCAGCACAAAAATGCTCAGGGTACTTGTATAAAGTCATTCAGAAACCAGTGGGTAAGGGGAAATAAGGGTGGGGGTAAAAAGTTAGATTTTATTTTAACATAGATAGTTTTCAAAACTTTAGTTGCTTATTCAGCTAGTGAACAAAGGGATGGGGTATAAATCTATCAACCAACTTCATGCTAGAAAATTCAAACTGAAAATTGAGAACACAAAGGATTAAGCCAAAGAGTGCATACTTCCTGAATTTCATATAATTAAGTGGCTTTTACTCCCTTTCATTTTATGAGCAACACTTCAAAGAGTTCTAAATAGCCTGATACACACACAAACACACAACACACACACACAACACAACACACACACACATAAAACAAAAGGACACATGCCAGGATCAACTATAAACATGAAGATGCCAATAAAACAAAGTAATGTCCATGTTAGAAAAACACTCACATCACCTCACAAAATTAAAAAAAGAAATATGTGTCTTTGTTAGCAGCTGCATTTTGTGTAGAGTATAAACATTTTTTCCAAGTATGACAGATAGTTATCTATTTCCTCTCTGTCCCTTTCAATGAGTCTTTGAAATGCTGTGTGAGAGAGGCATGAGACAACCAAGATCATGCTTTTCAGAGTGGTGAAGAGCCAATTTTGTTCTGTTTTCTTAATTTTTTTAATTCATTAGAAATCAATTCTTTAATACATAAAATTATGAAATTTTAATAATTATGAAAATATTAAATTGCTATACAAGTTCATAAATACTCTCAATCACTGTACTTAGCACATAGTAGAGTCTAAGATCAGGTGAGCACAACTTGGAATTATCACAGAATTAAACCCAAAACCAAAGTCACTGCCATTGAGTTGACTGCAATTCACAGTGACCTTTTGGGACAGAGCAGAACTGTCCCATAGGATTTTCAAGGTTGTGAATCTTTACAGAAGCAGACCGCCTCATCTTCTTCTCTCAGAGTGGCTGGTGGTTCGAACCAATAACCTTTTGGTTAACAGCTGAATACCTTAACCACTGTACCACCACAAAACTAGGCCACCTATATTTAGCTATTTTTAACTTAAAATATTTGGCTTTTGAGTCTGGTGCTTTTCCCTGACTACCCTATATAATTTGAAAATATCTCCAAAATTCTGACCTTTTATCCTGCTTCATTTCCCAATTTAGCACTTACCATTTTTGCTGTATTTATATACAAATTTATTAATTGAACTTATGGGCTATCTTCCACTTACGACAAAGTGAGTTCTATAAGGGCAGAGCTTTTTGTTTGTTTTTATTTTTGTCTGTTTTGTTCACTAATGCATCACTAGTGCCCTGAAGTGAGTGGCATTTAAAAAAAAGTTTACTGTTGAGTTGATTCTGACTCATGGTAACCTCGTATGTGTCAGAATAGAACTGTGCTCCATAAGATTTTCAGTGGCTGATTTTGGGGAAAGCAGATTGCCAGAACCTTCTCCCAAGGTGCCTCTGGACAGACTCGAACTGACAATCTGTGTGCACTGCCCCAGGACTACAATGTGCATATTGTTGTTAGCTGCCATTGAGTCAGCGCATGAACAATGGGATTGCACCACTGTGATCCACAGGGTTTGGCTAATTTTGAGAAGTAGGGGTTTTGTCTGAGGCATCTTTGGGTAGGCACAAACTGCCAATCTTTCAGTTAGCAGGCAAGCATGATAACTGCACCAGTCAGGGACTCCAGTCAATAGAAACAGACCTCAAAACGAGACATTTGTGGGTATTAGCAGACAAAGATTTAAAAGCAGCTACGATAAATATGTTCAAGAACTTGAGAGGTAAAGATGGTCATAATGACAATGGTCCTATAAGTTTATGTGAATGATCAGAATTCCCAGGTGTACAGTAGAGCTGACAAGGGGCAAGGTTGTGGTCATTGCTTGGTCACAGCCAGCTACCCAGAGGGAC